CCCCTGGAGTTCTTTTCCACCCTTGCCATAATTCACCACCAGATGTCAGGGGAGAGCTCATCCTGACTCTGCTTACATCTAGGATGTATCTCCACCACACCTTCCGCTGTTGCAAGAGCTAAGCAGAAGGAATAAAAATGTCAAAGGCATAAAACACCAGGCACAAATATGGTTCTGTGGAAAAGAATTATTAGCATGAATAATTGTGATAATATCACTGTGGTAAGTCAACACAGTACCTGGTGGATTTCATCTCTGGTGCTATAGGAGTAGGATTTTGTTCCTGCTGAATCTTCCTTGTGGTTTTGATAAACATACTGTCCACAAACCTGGTCACGGGTACTTTAACTGTTTACACTTGGAACATAAGCCTAACAAATAGACAGGAACATCCCATCTCTCACTTTTTGGGGAGTTCTAACTCCCATTGGTTACTTGCCTGGGATATTACGTATGTCATAATCAGAGCTGATCTCCAGAGATGTCATGTATATAGCTCTTTAGTAGAAGGTTCTGCTGTAGTTTTCACAGCTATGTCAGGTAAGCAGAAGGAATAGGAGTGGAGTGGGGAGTGATATACCTGATGCTTCAAAGCATCAGGCACAGCTATGGTGTTGAAGAAAAATTATTATTACTGATCAACTCATGGTGGGGCACTAGCATGATCTGCAAGGAGGCTACGGCCCTTTGGAGTCTGCCAAGCTATTGTACCTTCTGCTGAACACATGGTGCTGACAATCCCAGGGTTTGTTCCCTCTGATGCCCCCTAGTGGTTTCAATGAATATACCTTATCCTAACATTACTCCTGGTGGAATTCTGTGCCACTGCGCAATGCAGAATTTTGCAGAAATTAACGTTGGCGCAGAATTTCCTTTCCTCCACAGAAATGGGCTGCAATGCTGCTAGTCGCCACAAGGGGCTACTGAACCCAGCAGAGCCCAACTCACACATAGAAGACACTGCTGGGGGGCGGGGGAGGGAACTAGAGGGTTCCAGGCAGCTGCAGTTCCCAGCATGCTCTGAGGGAAGGAGAGCTCTGAGGGAAGGAGAGGGCTGTGCACAGGAAACTCTGTGCAAGCCTGGGATCAAGCATCAGGCTGTTTCTCCCTCTGGATCCCTGGGCTCTGGGGGAGGAAGAGGGTGGATGTGTAAGCTGGGGGGAGGCATGGCTGGGTTCGGAGGGAGGAAGGGGGTGGATGTCTAGGTTGGGGAGGGGGAGGCATGGCTGGGCTCGGGGGTGTTTGTTGTGGGGGGGATCAGAGAAACAGGAACTGGGTTGTCAGAGGGTTTCTTTAACTCTCTACTCCTGGGGGAATTTTTGTATGCGTGTGTATTGTTACAGACATACTTGCTGGCAGGTATTTGAAATAAATTACCAAAATAGTTGAAACTGGTGTGATTGTGTAGCGTTATTTTGAGAAACAAAATTTGCAGAATTTAAAAATTGTGCTCAGAATTATTAATTTTAGGATGCAGAGTTGCCCCCAGGAGTACAATGTGATAATATTTAATGTATATATTAATATTTGGCACATTGCCATAAAAAATGGCAAGAACAGCACATCTTCCATTTGCAAGGAAGTTAAAACTTTCATGGCAGTTCTCTGAGTTAGGTCAGGTCTGATGTCTATATATATCTACTAGGATGCCATAGCGTTGCTTGCATTTAAATATTTGTTTCTTATTTTACAGAAAATACAACTACCCCGGCAACCACCGATACCCCAGCAACCACCAATACCACGGCACCCACCAATACCACGGCAACCACCAGTACCCCGGCACCCACAACTACAGTAGGTAAGCAGGAGGAATGGAACTGATTGATAAGTATGAATCTTAAAATCACAATCAAAACTATTTTGCTACAGAAAAGAATTGTAAAATATAACTGATAATGACGATGATTTAATTGTGAAGACTCAACAGAGTAGCTGCTATCAATTTGGAATTTAGTCAGTTTCTAAATGGTGTTTAAAGGAAGCTTTCAGGTCCTCCGTTTTCGTCACCCTCTAGCAGTGGGACACCCATACAAAGAATGGGGATGGAACTGATTGTCTGACTCTACAGGGGAACCACTGACACAGGCTAACACAAAGTGTTATCAAATGCCCAAAGTAAAGAAACTGACTAAAGAGAAAAAAATAGTTTTTTTCCCCTCTAATCTCTCTGTTAAAGTCTTTTTGCAAATATGTCACAGCTATGTCAAGTAAACAGAAGAATAGGAGTGAAGTGAGGAGCAATATATCTGATGTTTCATAGCGTCATGCACAGCTATGGTGCGGAAGAAAAATCATTATTACTGATCGACTCATCATGGGGTACTAACATGATCTGCAAGGAGGCTACGGCTCTTTGGGCTCTGCCAAGCTGCTGTACCTTCTGCTGAATCCATGGGGCTGACAATCCCAGGGTTTGTTCCCTCTGATGCCCCCTAGTGGTTTCAATAAATATATCTTACTCTAACATGGTAACATTTAATGTACATGTTAATATTTGGGACATTATCATAACGAATGGACAAGAACAGCACATCTTCCATTTGCAAGGCATTTAAAAGTTTCATGGCCATTCTCTGAGTTAGGGTCAGGTCTGATGTCAATATATATTTACTAGGACAGGGGTAGGCAACCTATGGCACGCGTGCCGAAGGTGGCACAGGAGCTGATATTCAGTGGCACTCGCACTGCCCGAGTCCTGGCCACCGGTCCGGGGGGCTCTGTGTTTTAATTTAATTTTAAATGAAGCTTCTTAAACATTTTAAAAACCTTATTTTACTTTACGTACAACAATAGTTTAGTTATATATTATAGACTTCTAGAAAGAGACCTTCTAAAAACGTTAAAATGTATTACTGGCATGCGAAACTTTAAATTAGAGTGAATAAATGAAGACTCGGCACATCACTTCTGAAAGGTTGCCGACCCCTGTACTAGGATGTCATAGTCTGGCTTGCATTAAAAGATTTCTTTCTTCTCTTACAGTAAATGCCACTACCCCGGTACCCAATAATACGACAGGTAAGCAGGAGGAATGGAACTGATTGATAAGTATGAAACTTAAAATCACCATCAAAAATATTTTGTTATAGAAAATAATTGTAAATAATAAATAAAACTCACAATTATTTAATTGTGAAGACCCAGCAGAGTAGCTGATGATATTAAAGGGACACTGTCAATTTGGAATTTTGTGAGTTTATAGAAGTTCTATAAAAGAAGCTTCAGGTCCTCTCTTTTCATATCCTGTAGCAATGAGACACCCATACAAAGAATTGCCTGGGTCTACAGGGTAAACACTGACACAGACTAGTCACAAGGTGACTAAATAGAGGAAAAACAGTTTCCCCCCCCCCAATCCCATCCACCTCCAACTCCTTGTGTGAGCTTTCTCTCTTCCTCCTTCCCACCTCCCAGTCCTCTACGGCCTGTCCTCTCTCCCTCCCCTCTGCCCCATCTATATTCCCCATCCCTTCTGGATTCCAATCCCAGCATCCTTGCCTGGAGTCCTTGTCCAATCACCACCCCAGGCCTCCAGCCCTTTGTCCCAGTCCTTTTATCCTGCCAGTCCCAGTTTTGTCCTAGACCCTGGCTCCCCTCCCCAGGAATTCAGTCCGAGGCAATTATCCAGATCTGATGTCAATATATGTTTAATAGAATGTCATAGTGTGGCTTGCATTTAAAGATTTGTTTCTTCTCTTACAGTAAATGCCACTACCCCGGTACCCAATAATACGACAGGTAAGCAGGAGGAATGGAACTGATTGATAAGTATGAAACTTAAAATCACCATCAAAAATATTTTGTTATAGAAAATAATTGTAAATAATAAATAAAACTCACAATTATTTAATTGTGAAGACCCAGCAGAGTAGCTGATGATATTAAAGGGACACTGTCAATTTGGAATTTTGTGAGTTTATAGAAGTTCTATAAAAGAAGCTTCAGGTCCTCTCTTTTCATATCCTGTAGCAATGAGACACCCATACAAAGAATTGCCTGGGTCTACAGGGTAAACACTGACACAGACTAGTCACAAGGTGACTAAATAGAGGAAAAACAGTTTCCCCCCCCCCAATCCCATCCACCTCCAACTCCTTGTGTGAGCTTTCTCTCTTCCTCCTTCCCACCTCCCAGTCCTCTACGGCCTGTCCTCTCTCCCTCCCCTCTGCCCCCTC